GTAGTAATTTTTGGACCTTTGTAATGCAAAAGCCTCTAAGAAATCCTGTGACCAGTGCAGTGTAAGAATAACAGGTCCCACTGACAGTAATCCTTCCTATTTACCTCAACTTGCAGCTCCTCTTCAGACTGGGGATGCTGAATGTTGTGCTGCCTTATATGTGTGCTCACAAAATTCTAGAGCCAAAACTCTCTTAATTAGGACTAATACATGTAGATTTAACTGTACCCGGATTTCTGTTATAAGAGATTGGGTAAAACCAGGCACTCCGTGCCTTTTTTCCATTTCTTATTTTCTGTTTATTTTAGGTCCTTATCCCTGCTGTTATCTAAGTGGAAGTGTTGTAGTTATAGTAATATAATAATGCAATTATCCCAAGCCTGCGGGTTTGTGCCAGTGGCCCTTTGCTGAGTGCAGTCTGTCTGCACAGGGAGCTGCAATTTCTGTGTTAGTTGGGGAGCTTTTTTATTTTGTATTTAAAATGAATTGAAATAAAGGGGGATCTTCATTAGCTCAGCATCTGTAGCACTTCATAGACTTCTTAGGCAAACCACTAGAGGGTGAGGTGGGCATCGATGGATAAAGCATTCAGGTGGAGGAGCCTACAGAGCTCGCATCGTCTGCTGTGTTCAACCCAGCCATTATATCGGATGTGTACATAATTTCTATTTACATAGATACACAAATAAATATATGCATATGTAGCAGGTGCTGATACAACACTGTCATAGCATTTTCCTAGCTTTCCCTTCAGGAAACTGCCAGCTTGAAGTACATCTTGTAATGTTTCAGTTACGTGTTACTAAGAGCTGACAAAGACAAAAAGGTGCTCAGAAATAAAAGGAATAATTAGAATCCCAGCAGTGTAGGAGATGGCTGCCCACTGAGGCTCGTCACCATGAGACGCAGTGTTGCTCTGGTTTTCCTGACAGATAAGCTATTGAGAATGATACTGAAGCCAATTTGCTGCTTACGTGATCAGTTTGGAAGCATGTTAGAAACTTGCAAGTCTTGGCCAATGGTTTGGAAGAAGTCTGCTAAAGTGAAACAGATGACGTTGCTGAGTTTCTCCCCATTTGTTAAAGCTGTGTTTTCCTTTATTTCGTCACATGCAAACTCATAAGCCATGGAAGAGAATGGCTGGGATAGGGCAGATCTCAGCTGCATGGAAACAACCAACTTTAAAAAAGCATTAATTACTCAGTGACCAGGTGAATACAGAAGGAATGGGGACACTGTGCGACTCCAGGTAGTGCCCATCACCAGCCAGTAATGATTAATGTGTAGAATGGGGCATTGAGAAGAAAGCTGAGTGCTGAACAGAGGGGGAACGGTTTCCTATAACCTAATCTACTCTCCTTTTCTTCTCATGAATGTTTTGAGACCATTTTTAGCCTTGCTTTTTGAAACGCGCATGTGGTTTAGTCGGACCAAAGTGTGACTTTGAAGCCTCAGAAAAGGCTTTTAGAGGCAGCTGGTGTTTTAAGTTGAATTTTTAATGACAAGGTAGTTTGCAGAAGGAGTACTGCCATGGAACTGCAGGAGGAGGATGGAGGGAAGGAGCAGGAAGGGAGGAGGGCCAGTAGGAGATGCCTTTGCATTAGTGATTTTCTGTCTTTTTCTTCATTAATGCTGTCCAATTCCCAGGAATGGTTGTTAGCATTTCTAACCAAGCAAAATTAAGATGAAGGTTTTTTACACTTCTGCCAGTGTGAACCTCTCAGCACATATGTTGGTGAATTGACTTTGTATCCTACAGGAAAGGCAGCTAATGCATTCTTAGAAAGCATCAACTCTTCTTGCAGAGAATCATAGAACCATAGAATGGCCTGGGTTGAAAAGGACCACAGTGACCATCTAGTTTCCAACCCCCTGCTGTGTGCAGGTCACCAACCAGCAGCCCAGGCTGCCCAGAGCCACATCCAGCCTGGCCTTGAATGCCTGCAGGGATGGGGCATCCACAGCCTCCTTGGGCAACCTGTTCCACTGCCTCACCACCCTCTGGCTGAAAAACTTCCTCCTAATACCCAACCTCCCCTGTCTCAGTTTAAAACCATTCCCCCTTGTCCTGTCACTATCCACCCTTGTAAACAGTCATTGCCCCTCCTATTTATATGCTCCCTGCAAGTGTTGGAAGTCCACAATGAGGTCTCCCTGCACCCTTCTGTTCTCCAAGCTAAACAATCCCGGATCTCTCAGCCTTTCTTCATAGGAGAGGTGCTCCAGCCCTCTGATCATCTTAGTGGCTGTCCTCTGGACCTGCTCCAAGAGCTTCACATCCTTCCTGTGCTGGGGGCCCCAGGCCTTGATGCAGTACTCCAGATGGGGTCTGACAAGAGCTTTGGTTTTCATGACTGTGGCAGTAAATGGAGATCAGAGATGTGGAAATGGCAAAGTGATGGGAGAATGGCCCCAAGGCAATGACCCAGGGGGGTCTGGCAGCGATGGGAGCACCCTGGGGGCTGGTGGCTCCTGCTTGGAGCTTGCCTGATGGGCAAGCCCTGCAGGCTGCAGTGTGGCAGGCACATCGGGCACAGCTCATGGGCTGCTGATGCCGAGCCATGAGGGGATGTATTCCTTTGGTTTTATAGCAGTATTATAGCCCAAATCATTTCCAGGCTCCCGAGTATGTGAAGCAAGATGATGTGAAAACCATAAGGTTACTGTAGTTCTGAGTGCTTTCTATGCTCTTCTGGATAAATGGAGCAGAAAAGTCTCCCAACTTCTCTTGGAGATTTCAAAGGCATTATTATATTCTGTAGTTATGATATTGTCATAGCTCTAACAATCCACAGTAAAACTGAGCCCTATTCTGCGGAGTGTTGTGCATGAGCAGAATCACTGATGATCCTTGGTGCTGGGAGCTTGGCTTGAGGCCTGTGTCATACTCATATTCATCTGGAAGTGTTTCTGCACCAATTCTCCAGGCTGGATGTGGCTCTGGGCAGCCTGGTCTGATGGTTGGTGCCCCTGCACATAGCAGGGGGGTTGAAGCTAGATGATTATTGTGGTCCTTTTCAACCCAGGCCATTCTATGATTCTGTCATTCTCACACTTTTTTTTTTTTTTACTTTTTTCTTTTAGCAAAAAGATTATTAAATAGAATAGCAAAGGAACATAAAATAGAGATTGGTTTCATAAAGCAAATTGATAATGGTTTCTCCCTTTCCCCTCTTTCTCCTCCTCCAAAAAAAAATCACAAGCTCTGAGTAGGTTGGTAAATAAATGGAAAGAGGTAGAGGACTGCACTTAATTTCTAGCAAGCTGGATCCAAGGCTGATTCTTCTTTTCCCTTTTTCTTCCACTCCAAGCCATCAACTCATCATATTCTTCTGCTGCTGGAGAATTTTAATTGTCCTGTTCTCCGTCCCCCTTCTTCTCTGCCACTTTCTAATCAGTAATTATGTGGCCTTCAGTGGTTAACAATTAATCAGAAAATGAATTGGGGCTGGGGGAAATTGCAGGGCCGTTTGATCACACACCAGTGAGAGCTCTGCTTCTGAGAGTAACCCCGGGACAGCTCCTGCCTGCACATCATTTGTCCTATCCTGCACATCATTTGTCCTATCCGGAGGCAGGGCCGGGTGGCTGCCTGATCACACAGCTGTCCTGGTGTGTTTGGCTCCATCAGCATTTGTGGATCAAGCATTTGAAGGCGTTGGGTCTTTTTGTAAAGGTGCCTCGTGGCAAAAGTGGGCCTGGTGTCTTTTATACCATTACTGGTACATGATGCAGCTCATTTTCTCAGGCTTTCTGCTAGGAGGTAACTGACAAAATATTTCCTCTCCATTGCAGCACATCTCAAGCATAGCAATGAACCGATCTTACTTTCTCCCTACCACTCCATGTCAGAATTGCTGTGCTTTTTTCTTCTACTGTCCCTCATGTATTCTGGTATTTCTACAGTTTTCTCTTCTTTCTACCCCTTTGTAACACATCCAACCTATTGCAGCAGACTGTTGTGTTGTGTTTCACCAGCACACAGCTGAGAACTTGTTCTGGGCTCCGAATGCATTTCCAGCTGGGGGAAACGAAAAGCTGCAGTATCAGGATGCATTGGGATCATGTAGCTGAGGTTTGTCAGATTCAGGTACGAGGTTGCTGGCAGGGCTTGCTGGTCTGGCAGCTGCTCTTGGTGTTGTCTCCGTATTCCTCTCCAGGTGGTTTCATGCTACTGGGCTGTTTGGTTACAGATGTGCTGAAAGCAGTCTCTGTGGTTCTGAGTGGTCTCATGGAGCAACAGGAGAGCACCGTGATCTCCTCCTCATCACTGCTGTGCCTAACCCAGAGGTTACAGCTCAAGGAGCAGGGCTGAATATTTGCTGGTGTTCATGTTCTCAGTGCTCTCATACAGGCATTGCACTTCTGTAGGAGAAAGAAGAAAAAAGCAGCTAGAGAAAAAGGACGTTTTCATTTGCGGGTGCTTTCTGTTCGTTTGCTTTGCTCTTCAGCATCCTGAAAGCATGAGCTGCCATTGAAAATCAAATGAGTTCTCAATTGCTTCCTTCCAATTCAATAAGAGGAGGAAAGCAGAAACCTGCCAACGTTGCTGGAAGGAATGGCGGAAGGGGAAAGCGCTGGCTCTGCAGAAAGCTGCTTCCTCCTCTTCGTTCCCCGGGAGGGTTCTGGGGGCTGTGCTGTGCCTGTGGGTGCCTGTGGGTGCCTGGAGGATCCTCTCTCCATCCCCACAGAGACCCAGGATGTGTCCTCCATCAGGCCGGGGTGGTTTCCTTCCATAGCTCCCTGAGGTTTCCCACTTAGAGTGGTCTTCCCACCTATCCTTTATTTTCTTCTGACAAGTCTGAACCACCTCACGTCACCATGGCACATCAAGAGATGACGTAGATGAAGTCGTGTTACTGCTCTTACGACTCTCCTTGCTTTCATCAGAGGAAAAGAAAGCTTTGGAGTCTGTGCCTGGGAACTGAATGTTTTTGAGATCATAAAGAGTACGAATGCTTGCTTTTGTCATTGACAGCCTGACATCTCTGTGCCCGCAGGACGGAGGCTCCGATGCGCTGTGAGCTGTGTGGCGCTGCGACCTCCATGCCGGAGCCGCTGCAGCAGTGCGCAGCCTGGCTGAGCGCCTACTTCTGTGAGCCCAGCAGGACACAGCAGCTGCCCCTGCCACCCTTCCACCACCCCAAGCTGCAGCGAGGTCAGTGCCCAGTTCCTGGTAGCTGTAGAATCACAGAGGGTTGGATCGGGAGCACACACGCAGCCCACAGCCCCCCACAGATGGGGGCTGGCTGCCTCCAGCAATGTATCCATGGGCATGGGCACCTCCTGGGATGGGACACCCACAGCTCTGTGCACCTGTGTTATCCAATTCAGACATGCCCAGACAACAAACAGGTGCTGTTGCAAAGTAGTTAGGATGCTGTGTTTAGAGGGAAACATGAGCTGAAAAAAAGTCCTCCTTACCATTTCCCATTCACTGGTGTGTTTTCCGGAAAGCCTCGTAACAAGTCAGTCACCTGAAAGAAGATAGGCTACAGGATTAAAAGCATCAAAACACAAGTGGAAAAAAAGCAAAAACGGTAAAAACAGAAGTCTGCTTTTTGCAATGGCTGCTTGTTGATCCATGAATGGGATCATTTCCCAGTGATTTCAATGCTCATTTTCTAACATCTATTCTTTAATTGAACTGATTTCATAGTAACACAACACCAAAAAGGGACTCATATCTCCTGTGCTACCAAAAGTAAGATAGCTGTTTTTTACATGAACCCCAAGCTGTACGTGCTCTTCTCTTGTGTGGTTCTGTGTAAAATCACTTTGTACAAATGGGTGCATAGGTTTGTACTTGAAACTGTAGTGGAAATATGTCAGTAAAAAGATTGCCAATTTTACGTGTGGAAAGGAGCAGCTGTTCTTACAGGCACAGATTTGCAAAACTCAGCTGTGTCTGCTGCTAATTGCTGGTTTTATTCAAATTCTTATAAATAATAGGTTGCTTCTTGCTGCTGCACTTTCTCATTCTTAAATATCTGATGGCAGCTGCAAGGAGCAGAGCAAAACCGAAATGCAATTGTTCTGTTGTTATGCAGACCATCAGACTTGTTTTCTAAGGGTGCGAGTCATAAATTGTATGAAATCTGCAGAGTACCTTTATTTTAATGGTGAACTTCTGTAAGATTATTTCACATTAAGAAAATCACTCAATGCAACATCTTTTGGACTCAAATTATAATGTATGGGCTGTGAGTGCCTTTGATGTTTTGAGTATTGCACTGTCCCCTGTGAGCATTTATAATGTTTGGGTGTTCCTTCTTGCTTTTTCTTACTCTCATATATTAGATGAAAATGATACAGGAAGGAATATGGCAATACATGTCAAAAATTGTAGCAGCTGTTTTTAAAGGTAGTTAGAAGAAACATGGGGTAAAAGCTGCATCATCATGGTTTAAATTGCACATTTCAATTTGTCTGCAAGTGAGAGTTGCAGTAGTGCTAAGTTAAGGATTTGGTATTTATTTACTTTTTCACATTTACATTTGAAAGTGCCTATTCATTTCTCCAGGCACTTAAAAATGCAGAATAAACATTAGTGTGAGCATGAGGACCCGCCACCACGAAGGCTTCTCTCCTCATGCATCTCTGTCCACAGCTCTCATACCAGCCATCACAACCTGTGGCTGCAGCCTCCTGCAGTGCCGTGCTGCGACCCTGGGTGACACGAGTTCCATCAGCAGTGCCTTTGTGATAAGGACTGATGCTTGGCTATTTTCTTTCTTCTTAGTCGGCGCTCTAGTCAGACGTTATTGTTTTTTCTGTGGCAATGTCATCTGAGGACAGTGGGAGTTTTGCTTTTCTTACAACTGAGCATGTTTACAAGAGGACTCTTAGAAATATGAAGTGCTTTCAGGATGAAGCACTTCGCAATGAGCGATCACTTTCCTGCAGTTACTTTTGTGCTGAGTATTAAGGCACAGTTCCTTGTGTAGACAAATACGTTAACAATTAACTTAGTGGATGCAGAGAGAGATTGGTGAATTCAGGAAGCCCAGGGCCACTCCTGCAGGTGGTTGTTGGCCAAAGCAATGATCCCACTGTGTACTTTTCTTCCTATGAGCCCCTTCCCGTGGTCACTGTGCTGCAGACATAGAGCAGTGTGATCGTCATGCTGCCATAATTCAGCTATCATGCACATGTGCGTTACTGCTGCCCCAGCAGCCTGAATTCTGACATGGCTCCAGATGCTCATCTCGTGTCCTCGCTTTTCCAAATCGCCTTCAACTCTTTAAAAAGGGGAAAGGCATGTAAGAGCACTCCAAACACAGAGTGAACCATTCCTCCTTGTAACCCATCAGTGCTAAGTTTGACTCTGAAGCGCCAGTGCTGCAGCACAGCCTGGGAACTGAGGGCTGCCTCCTCCACACGTGCAGAAGCTGCTGGTGTACCAGCTGGCTGCTCCCAGCAAATGCAGCTGGTTCTTTTCCCGTTGGCAGTGTGCTTTTTTGTTGTTTTTGTTTGTTTGTTTGCTTTTTTTTTAAATCTAATTGAAAACTGGAATTTCCAACGGTTGGTCTGGTGCTCAATGTCAGATTTCAGCAACCTAGGAAAAAGGAAGTATTTCCCACTTCTCTGCGTAGTGACTTCAAGGTGTTACACCTCGGGCAAATCTCTGCATGTTTATCATGGAGAGTGATTAATTGTTCTTAATGTACCATGGTCATTAGTCCCCGCTGTGTATGATAAAGAACAATAGACCTTGTTACTGTTTTGAAGCCTACGCATGAGTTGTTTGATTTGTGAGTTCGTGAAATGGTAAAGGAAATGCTAAATTGGCCAATCATGAATTTCCTGGCTTTTCCTTATTTGTGCCTTGCAAACCTGCTGCTCGAGACCACGGCGAGCATCGCAGCACTGGGTACTGCAGCAGGGAGCAGCGCCGTGTTTGCAGACCAGATGGCTTATTAGAGCAACAAGAGCAGAGGAAATTGGACACACACAAGAGTTTTCCTTTGCCCTGTGACAAGCAGCAGCCCTGGGGCTCTGCTCTTTGCATGCCACGCCGTGCCCAGCTGCCCTCACTGCTGGCCGAGCTCCTTTTGCTTTGCAGAGCTGTGGTTCTGTCCCTGTGTTGCAGGTATGAGGTAGAGGCATTTTCCAGCTGTCCGGCTTGTGCACCTGCTTTCACATAAGCTGCATGTTTCCATGTCCATGCAAGGGAGGAGGACTTTGGCCCTCTGCCTGCAACTGAGGGCAGAAAAAGCAGTGCAGAAAGCCAGAGCAGGAGCAATTTGAGGATGGAGGCCAGGGAGGTGAGTTTTGCAAGCCAGCTTAGCAGCTGAAATTTCCCGTGTATAATGCATGTTATTCATCCAAGAAGGGATATTGATGAAACACCTCATACATAATGGGAGCAGAGTCTTCAAAGACAGCGGCGGTGCCTCCATTCCCCCTTCAAGATGACTTCGCGCCGTGCCCAGGCCTGTAATCAATAATTACCCTGTGATTTCCTGGGAGCCTCCTCGCTCAGAGAGAAGAACCACAGCACTGCAGACAGCGAGGCTGGCGCAGGCACCGCTAAGGGCGGCAAAGCACACTGTGAAATGCTGCTTCCCAGCTGTAGGAACGGCGTGCTGTCCGAGCTTTGGGGCACCTCTGTGGGATGGGACTTTGTCCTCCAGCTGATAGCACAGAATCACGCTGCCATGGCTGCTCTTCTGTGCTTGGGGGGGGATCTCTCCCTTCGGAAAGAACCCAGACGGAAAACCCTCCCATCGACAGCATCTCACTGCTCCTTCACCTTGCTGCCACTTCTTTGTTTCTCTGCTTTTGCACATCGTGAACTATTGGGGGAAAAAAACGCACCAGATTAAGATAAAAAATTAAGATAAAAAAGCAAGTATTCTGATTTTTGTCTGTAACTTAGCCAAGACCCATGTGTTTTCTTCCTTTCTGTGGTTGAAATGCTCAAATGAGAAGCAAGTTTTCTGATGACAGTGGGTCTGTTGCTTTGACTGACTTCTGAGACATCAGATCCAACATGTCCTGAGTGCTTACATTAAAAAGTATTTTTTTAAAGCTGCATTGCTTACCTTAAATACTGTGTGCAGTATATCCTATTACTGTGTGCAGTGTATCCTAAGAGTAAATTTCTCTCTCTCATGCAGTTTAGCCAAGTAGTTTTTCAGTATGTAAAAATTACTAAAATAAGAAAGAACATTTACAGTATTAAGACCAATACAGGTCTCTCTTCCCTTGCTTTGTGTTGAAACCAATAATTGTAGCAATCATTGACCTCATTGAACTCAGTAATCTTTAAGGTCTTTTCCAACCAGAGCAATTCTGTGATTCTAAAAGATTTCAAACATTGGGTGCCAGTTTGTGGGCAAGGGGGTAGCAGTTCAGCACTCCAATACAACAAGAAAAGAAACGGCTGGTTAAAAAGTTGTTCTTTAAGTCATGAAAGTGAGAAAACTCCTTTTTAAGAACCTCAGAAGTAGAGGATTTAGGGCTGAGGCTTCCAAGGCTCAAAAAGGAGAAACCATAGCAAAACAAAAAACAAAAAAAAACTGATCAGGAGAGCAGGAGGAAGATGCTCAGGGATGTCAGACACCAGGGCAGTCTGACAGATATCCAATGTCCATCCTGAGGTCACTGCGTGGTGGCTGTGAGCATTTTGTGTAATGGAAAAAAATATGTAATGTCATGTTTTGGTGATTTGCAGCCTTGAGGAGAACATGAGGCAATGGGAATTAAGGGTGAGAACAGGTGAGAAGTGGAAAGGATGCATTTAACCTGTGATGGATTTTTATTAAGCTGAAAGTAACTTAGATCCATAGTAGAAGTAAGCATAGGCATTTTAAGTTCATCTTCAACTTCAGAGTTTTCTTCTGACTCCTAGAATTACATTTGCCCAGCGTTAGCAATACAGTAAATACTGAAGTGAATGAAATTTTCACAGTTTTGCTGTCTTTATTAACTTGTAATTTTTAACATGATGGCCTGTGGATATGAGATGCATCTATAGAGACAGAAGGCTCTACAGGGCTTTACGTAATTTTAATTTTCCTCAACCCTGTGTACGTCTTGTAACTTCATTTGCCCTTTTAAACTAAATTGCACTTACTTTTAAATGACTTTTCTGACATCATCCAATTGACGTAAATCCATATGCAGCATCTGAAAATGCTCAGGCTGGGCTGG